GGAGGATTTTGAGATAAGGTCCTATTGTGGGAGTGTGAAAGGAGATATTTGAGGGACACTAGAAAATCCACCGCAAAAAAAAAAAAAGAGAGAGAGAGAAAATCCACCACAGTTCCTACTGAGGGCCATGCAGCAGAGGAGGAAGCATGACTCAGGAAAAGCCTGGGCAGGAAGTGTGGGGAGGGGGGTCTGGGATAGACTTCTGGCGGGAAGGGTTTGCAAATGGAGACGATTTACATATCAGCAGTATTTTACTCCAAACTGATTATCCTACACAAACCGCGGAGTTTCACCTGGAGATAAGTGGGCAGGATCAGGGAGCAGCTCTGGACTCTGAAAGGAAGAGCTCTGTGAACCCTGCCGGAACACCAGGCTTCTCGGTGATTTTGCTATGTGTCCTTGGACAAAGCACTTCAAAATTCACTGGGGAGTTTGCTTCTCTGAAACACGGGTATACATACTATATTATTTATTTTGGGGGCCTCTGTGAGACCTAATGGCCATTACTCCAGCTGTGTGCTACCTTTCTTCACATTTTTGGCTGGGGCATAGCTCAGTGGTAAAGCATGGGTCTAGCCCTGTGTGCAATTCTCAGCACACACAGAAAAGAAATTTTCTTATTTCATACTTAGACCGTACATTCTATATATTTAAAAATCCCAAATTTTGTGGCGTAAAATAACAGCCCTTATAAAAAAAATAAATAAAAAGCGTATAGAGGACACTTAATTTTAACGGTTTGTCTCTTAGGTGTTCAATACAAAACTATGGGGGGCCTGCTCCTTAGCTCAGTTCTTTGGGGGCCTGCCCATTAGCTCAGTGGTTTAAGTGCCTGCTTAAAGGAAGCATTCAGGGGACCAGGAGATGGCTCAGTAGGATAAGCACTTGACTGGCAAATGCAAGGATCTGAGTTCAATCCCCAGTTCTGCCAAAAATAAATAAATAAATAAATAAAGGAAGCATTCAGCCTCAGGATGCTGTGGTTCAAACCCAGATACTTCCGCCAAACCTTGAGGCGGCCAAAAAACCAAAACTATGGTGATTTTTTTTCTCCTTGGATCATTTTGTCTTTTAGTATATTTATTGCTACAAATATTGCTATGAATGTGCTTTGGATATTTGAAATGGAAATATTATATACTGAAAAAGATACAATGGATGAATACAAATACAATTATGCATTTGGACACTTCTTACTTAAAAAAAAATAAATAACAGCCCTTTCATTAGTTCACAGTTCTATGTTCCCAAGCCAGGTATAGTGGCCATGCTCATAAACCCAGGTACTCTGAAGGCTCAGGTAGGAGACAGCAAGTTCTAGGTCAGCCCTTGCAACTTGGTGAAACCCTGTTCCAAGAGTGTGTGTAGGGCCAGCCAGATAGCTCAGCAGATTAAAGCAATTTAGGCAGACAGGGATCAGGGTTTGATACCCTGCCCTACCCCCAGAGTTTGATGAGAATGTGATTGAGACTGGGCATGGTGGGCTGAAATCCCAGCGTTTGGGAGGCTGAAAACAGTAGAATCACTGCAAATCTGATCTGTGTAGTGAAACCCTGTAGACCTTGTACTAAACATATAAAAAATGTGTGTGTGCGTGTGTGTGTGTGTGTGTGTGTGTATGTGTGTGTACTGGCTCAAAGGCAAAGTGCTGGTCTAGATGCATGAGACCTTGGGTTCATTTCCCAGTACAACAAAAACAACAATGAAAACCAATACTGCATTTCTGGCTGGGCTCACAATGGTTCTGCCACTGTTTCCTGTGGTCGCTGACGTGTCTGAAGTCACCCAGTGAGCTGGCGGGGTGATTGGAGGCTGAGCTCCAGTACTGAACTTTCACCTCCTTTTTTTCTTACCTTGTGCCCTTTCCCTAGGTGGTTTCTCCAACGAGGTAGCTGATTTTTTACCTGGCGGTTCAGATCTTTCCAAAGTACCAAATGGAAACTTCTTCACCATAGGGGGTGGGAGAGATGTGGGGGAGAAACATACAACTATGACTGATAGGGAAGGATGGGAATATAAGGAGGCCGGCCCCCAAAATGAGCAGGGTGTAATGCAGGGAGGTGAAGTTCGTTGCTCACTGTGGAGGGTAGAACTGCAACAGAACCAGGCACTTCAAAGTTTATACTCGGGACCGGGGAGATAGCTCAGTAGAATAAGCACCTGCCTGACAAGCCCAAGGGCCTGAGTTCAATCCCTGGTTCCACAAAAAAAAAAAAAAAAAAGCTTATACTCTAACTTATGGGGCAACAGATGAAGTTTGTAATGTCTCAACTTCAAATCTTGTGAGGTAGGTACTGTTTTTTTTTTTAATTTTATTTATTTATTTGTGTGTGTGTGTGTATGTGTGGCCAGCTCAGCCCACCAGGGGGCGGGGCTGGCTGGCATGTGGTGCTGGGGGATTGAACCGTAGTCCCTTTGTTCTTGCTAAACTTGTTCTAAGGTGGTGCTTTAGACCACTGAGCCATCTCACCAGCCCCGGTAGGTACTGTTATTGTCTCTAATTTACAAAGGAAGAAACCCAGGAATAGAGAGCTTGAATACCTTACCCATGGTGATTCAGGGAGTTTGCTCTAGAAATTATACAACTTACCCAACCACATGGGCAACACTTGATACTGACAAACAAAACCATGTAAATGTGATTTAATCTGAAATTATTCTTTTAGAAAGACTGGAAGGACAGCAAATATTATGGAACGATATATATGATGTGTGAGTATAAACTTACCTTGACACAGGGTCTCCCTGTGTTGCCAGGCTGGTTAGGCACTCCTGGGCTCACACATCTCCTAGGTAGGTGGGCCTAAAGTTTGAATTACCATCGTGTCTTACAGGCTGCTTGGGAATTTGGAGGTTTGGAGTTAGCTTGCAGATCAGGGTAATTTCCATTTGAGACATCTGTTCCTCCCGCCCTCTACTATCTCTTGAAGCTTGGCAAGGATCTATCTGCATCCTTGCTCATCCAATCCTCACCCCGATTCTCAGCTACCGAGGGAAGGACCTTTCTGTAGCAGGTTTCCCCTCCCCGTTCCATCTGTAATCATCACATCAGCCCTGCAGCTTCTGAATCAGTAACCTTTCGGTCCCTTCACTTCCTAGTCCGCAGTCAGTTTCCTCACTATTGTCATTATCACTGCCATGGCTTCTGAGGACAGCGGGCAAAGCCTGTGCTTCCCACGGAGCGACCTGTTGTGGCTTTGCCCTCCCTTCGCCTAGCCGATGGGCAGAGAACGGCGCGGAAAACCCCGCGGCTTCTGAAAGGAGCTACGCTGCCTGAAGGTGATCTTTGAAGCTTCGTGAAGGGATCCCTGAACTGTCTTGGTTGATCCTGATCTCTCTCAGCCCGCGCGGAGTCTGGATTCAGCTAATTGGGAAGTAGCTCACTTGAGTTTAGGATGCAGTCATTCGAGAGTGGTCTCAAAATTCTCCTGTCTTCCCCAAGGCAAAATTGTGGAGTGGCCTTGTCCTTCCCTTAAATCTTTCTCCTTTAACTTGTTTTTAATTTTGACTTTGTTTCATCCTTACAAAATGTTGGAGTACAATGCTGGTCGTTAATATGACTTATTTTATTAAAGTTACCCAGCTGGCCGTGTGTTTTACATTGCCTCATTTGGTTTATCACCAAACTGCTGTTTGGATTAATCGGCAGGACAGGGGCGCCCTGGGCAGGGACTTCCAGCTCCCCTCCTCGACCCAGCCCGCTCCCAACCCGCGAGGGGCTGAAAGAGAAGGAACCGCGCTGCTCTCAAGGCAAGGCCGCCTCGCACTGCCCCGCAGCTGTCCTGCCCGGGCTGACCTCCTCCCGTGGCCAGGGGGTCTCCACCCCTCGCCCAGATCCGTGGGTGAGGGTGGGCGGCTTTTTCCGGGTCGCTGGCGCACCCGCTCTACTCCTAGCCACCTGCTCGGGTTCTACCCCAGCTCCAGGCTCTCGGGAGGGCGTCGGGGACATTCCAATCCTCCCACTCCCAGCGGCTGTCACGGGGGCGGGGGGCGCAAGCGCGCCATCCTTCCAGCACCCGGCTCTGACCCGGTTTCTTCTCAACCCCTTCTTCGAAGAAGAAACTACGGATTGGTGATTGGTGAATGGTGCGAAGGTTGATTGTTTACAGCCCACCCGGTCGGCGAAGCCGCGGCTCGAGCAAGAGGCACTTTCTGGGCAGTCTGCGCTCTCGCAGACAATTGGGAGCCAAGCAGCCAAGCTGCCTCCTCTCCAGACCAAATATGGTCACAAGCGCCGAGCGGCCTCCGTGGAAAGGCTGGCCTCCGCGTGGCTCCCCGCGCCGGGC